TCCTGCCTTGCAAAGTGAAGAGAGTAGCCCCTAAACTGCCTGCCCCCATCTTGCTGGCAGGATCCAGAGTGTCCATGGGTGTAGACAGTGCCATGCAAACTGGAGCATGCCCCTGTCACCTCTTTCCATCTGGAGTTCCGGTTGGTCTTCAGGGTTTTGCTGCACAAAGTGTTGACCCACATTTGTAGCCCGCGCAGCACTTGGCATAAAGTAGGAGATCAGTAATGGGGGGCAGGCAGATTCTCATAGGTGTATTCGATTGTTCCTGTATTGTATATTTCTTTATTTATAATCTTATGTATTCATTTAATGGCTGTCCTCAGACTAGTCTGATTTGGCACATCCTAAAGAAATCCGTTCATATTTGTGGCTTTAATGGATGGATGGATGGATGGATGGATGAATGAATGAATGGCTACTTAAATGAATTCATCACAGGGGCAACCTCTGTTGTGAAGGGGGAGGGCCCTGGTGAAGGGATGTTTACAGGCATCCTCACCATTCCTGATCTCACGGAATCAGGCTATTCCACACATGCCCAGCCTTGTCTGGATGCCCAGGGTGATGCCTACTACATATATTCAGTGCCAACTGGTGACCGAGCCCATGCGCATCCTTCTGGCTACTCCTCAGACCAAAATCCCCTGAACAAACTCCCCATCATCCTCGCATCCCATGTTGCCTTGAAGTCTCTATGCCTCCCTCAATGATGGGCTCCTTACGGACAGGCGGCTACGACTCATTCGTATTCGAGTCCCCAGAATGCCTAGCAAGGAGCCTGCCTAAAACAGATGCTTTGCGGTCAATCAATAAAGATGATCTTTTCTACACACTGGTGTATGCACTACAACTCAGAATTCCATTAAAACACGCTGAGTCGGGGGAAAAAGTGTTTCGGGCTCATATTTAAAAAGCGAAAAATTAACAGCTGCGTCATATATTTTGGTCAAGTGCTTTGGATTTGTGGAAGGGATTTCTTTCTATAAATATGATTATTAGTCGCCCTGATTATAACAATACCCTGGGGGATGGCACAGAGCTCTGCCTTCCCAGAAGGGTGGGCTGGGGAGGGCCGGGTATTCCCTCTGCTGACTTGCTTCACTAGTTGACTAACAGACCTTATTCCCTGGCCGAGCCCACAATATCCAACCAACGCCAGCTTCCCAACATGGGGGGGAAGCAAAAGCAAGCACGGGGGGATCCTGGGGGAAAAGCAGCCTGGGTCTGCTGCTGCTCGGACAGTTGAGGCTCCAAGAGGGGCTGGCAAACAATGGGAAATGAAACATTTGAGTGGCTGCGGAAAATTCCGTGGGAAATCCCCCCCGGCGGTATTTATGTGCCACGGCTGTGACAAGGGGAGCTCGGGGCTTTTGATTTCAAGGGTTCTTGAGCAGACCACAAGGAATGTTCTGAGGTGGCATTCCCCAGGAACAGCTCTCCTGAGCCACAAAGGGCCAGTCTGTCTGTCCAGGGAATATTTGGCCACGTGCACGAAGTTGGCTGTGAACTGCAATGGGCTGTCAGGAGCTCACGCACAGCAGCAGAGCTCAGTCCTCTGAACCTTCTGCACTAAGACAAATTCATCGCAACGGTTCCCTGAGATTTTCCTTAGCCTCAAGAGCCTGGGGGCTTATGTGACTGGAGGTTTCCCTCAGGCTCAGCCCTGCTTCCAGAACTTCGGGAATCTTAGCCCTCTGCTGACCGCTCCCATCTAACTGAAAAATCCAAAATCAGGGCCTCATGCATTCCCCATGGCATTTTCTGGTTAATTTGTGGCCTTACCCTGTTTTCTCCATTCCTATTTGTAATGGACATTCATTTGTCTTTTGCTCCCCCACCCCCACCCTCATTGAGAGAATAAAGTGGACTTGCTTTGCTTTTCTTAGAACTAAGACATATTCAAGACTGCCCACTATTGCTCATGTCCTGCTGTGTGATATATGTGTTTATAGATCGGCTTAAAGGTGAGGTTTAGAGGTTTTTAGAGACACTTAATAGATGAGAACACTGAAACTTACAGGGATAAATAACTTGCCTGTGTGTATTGGTCAGGAGGTTTCAGTTGCAAAGTGATAAGCTCCTATCTTAAATGGACTTCAGCCAGATCAAAAATATATTAGATTATTTAACTGAGAAGCAAGAGCTGTATTAGCTTCAGGCACGGCTGGATCTAGGCCCTCAATTAAGTCTTTAGGAATTTGCCTCTCTTCATCTCTTTGGCTCTGCTCTTCCCTGTGGTTTCATTTTTAGATTGGCTCTACCTGTTTTACATCTTCCTGGAGTCAAATCCAAGCTTTCTCCTGGTTGCTCCTGTAAAAGTCCCAGGGTTATGTCTGGGGGAGGGGGGGGTTCTGACAGGTTCAGTTCAGCTGCCCATTGCTAAACCAATGACTATGGCAAGGGGGACAGAATAATCTGATTGCCCAGGCCTCAGTCATGTGCTCACTGCCGAAGCATAGCCAAACCACAAGCATGGAGTAAGAGTGAGTGGGTCCCCCAAGGATACTGAGGTGCTCTTACCAGAAGGAGGAATGAATGCCGGGTGGGCAGAAAGACCTGATGTCCTGTACTCCCATGTCACACTGGTAGTAAGGGGCAGGCAGACCTGCATGCAGATCTGCCCTCTACCTTCTCCATGCTGCTGGAGACCACCTCGGGGACCCCCTAATGCCCTAGCCTAATCTTGTCACACGAATTCCTTCTAGTCGGCAGGTTTCAGAATGTGCTGGGGGAGGGAGGAAGACAGCAGAGGGGAGCAAGGAGGATGGGTGACAGAACTCAAGAGGCTGTGCCTACAGGACCCCTCCCTTGGCCTGTCTTTCAACCATGCAGCAATTCTTGTGTTTGTTGGTACATTCAGTTCCCTTGGACGCTTTCATTTAAGGAAATAGCTCCTCATATTTTAAAGGCTTGAAATCAGTGATTTTTCTGCAACCCTTGCCCTCTCACTCATTCATAAATGAGGAACAATAGCTCAGAAAGAGGCAGGAACTTGACCAAGACCATGCAGCAGCGCAGTGCACGTTGAATCTGAGAAATCACACCTCTGGATGCCCACCGCCTGCCCTTTCCACCTGCGTGCAGCCCTGCAGGTGGGTTAGAGATCCGGGAGTGGAGACCACCACACGCACCCCTGACTGATTTATTAGCCAAGGATGCAGATCTTAACACTAACAGAGCAGTTTCCCAGAGCAGAGCAAAAAGAGGGAAGCTTTTTGCAGCCTTTTTTCTAGTCTCTGGGTGCGGGCAGCCGCTGGGGACTCACTTTGTAGGTAGGATCCTGCCAGAAGGGAGAACAACAGCCAGATTCCTGCTACTCCCTCCTCATTCTGGGAGCTTACATCACCGTTCCAGAAGAACCTACATGAGTGAGCCATGTGCTTCTGGTTAGGATGTTTACAAACAACTAACTGTTCTGCTCTGTGCTCTCGTGTCTGCAGAGCTGGTCTCCGCGCACCAGCCCGGCCGTGTATTTCAAACACACCTTTCTGCAGTGCTGGCCACTGCTAATCATCACAACTAACCTTTCGGAGCGTGTATGTTGTTCCCAGAACTGTGTGCTAAGTGCTTGCCAGGTATCATTTCATTAAATCCTCCCGTAACCCTGTGACAGTAGGTACTACGATCACCCTCATTTTACAGTTGAGGAGACAGAGGTACAGAGAGATGAATTAGTTTCTTGAAGATCCTCAGCTGGCTTCAAACGCAGGCAATCAGAGTCAAGTGCATGAGCTCTTAGTTATATTGCTCCACTAGTCGCGTGATCACTGCTTTGGACAAGGAAGATGTACGTTGTCACCGCACCCAAACAGAGACAGACAGACAGAAAATTCTCTGCTTCCTTCATTCGGGCCCTTCCTTCCACCACCCATGTGCTTCCAGCCGAGTCTGAGGAGCACTGTGTTCTTCCTTTTCTCCTCCACTCTCTGCCTGGTGTCTTCAGCAAACACACCCAGGGGATTCCAGGAAGAGAACTATGATATTACGGAGTGGGCACGGCGCATCAGGTGCGAGCAGAACACGGGTAAGTCAGGTACGGAAAGGCGCACGGTCTCATTACTTAGACTACCTTGCAGCAGCTTATTGAATTAGTGTGATTCGTAACATCTTCAACTTGGATCTCCTCCAGGCCAGCCAGCTGGTGCATTCAGTACTACTCAGCTCGCCTTAACTCAATTAACTAAGCCGGGCTGAGCCGGGCTGAGCTGAACTCAACAAGTATTTCTTAAGCACTGAGCTGGCTGCAGGGGGAAAAAAAAACAAAGGAGGGCAAGATGCAGACTCTGCCAGACTCGGCCCTTAAGGAGATGCCTTCCGTTCTTAATGGCATAATACAGCGCCATCATTTCCAAGTACCGCCTGCATGATTCTCCCCACATCTGCAAGCCCCCTGTGCTAGGTTGTACTTCACGGTCTTCTTTAAGTAAATTAATTTTTTTAAGTAAACTAATTTCCTTCTCTAAACTTAATTTTTTAATTATTCACATGAAAATGACAGAACATAAAAGAAACCACTTCGAGGTGACAATTCAGGGGCATTTAGTACCTTTACAGTGTTGTAAAAGCCACTACCGCCGTCTGGTCCCCAAACACTTTCATCCCCCCCCCAAAATAAAACCCCACACCCACGAAGCAGGTGGTCCCCATTCCCAGCCCTCCCTGTCCCTGACAAGCACTAATCTACTCTCTGTCTCTACGGCTCTGCCTCTTCTGGACATTTCCCATAAATGGAATTATACAGTGTGTGGCCTTTTGAGATTGGTTCCTTTCACTCAGCATGGTAGTTCCTAGGTTCATCCATGTTGGAGCGCGTATCAGTACTTTGTTGCTTTTTATGGATGAGTAAGAGTCCATTGTATGGATAGTCCACATTTTGTTTCTCCATTCATCTGTTCGATGGGCATTTGAGCTGTTTCTATGTTTTGGCTATTGTGAATAGTGCTGATAAATAAGTGTATTTTATTTATTTATTCTATTGAGATGTGAGTGACGTAATAGGTGGAAATCTGGAAGGCTTCACAAATTTGGGTATTATCCTCAGGCAGGGGCATGCTAATGTCTGCAGCGTTCCAATTTTCACATATGTCCTGCCAAAGTGAGGACTCGGTAAGTTAATTTTAAAAGGAAATGACTGTAAGTAGGAAACCTCTATTTCTCTAATAGACAGCCAAGTAGATACATAAGTATTAGGAGTACAAATTTCACCAGCTGAGCACCGAGGATCATCCTGTGCACTATCAGATACAGCCATGATGAGTCTGAGACGGTACTGGATGGGGTCAGGGCCTCGAGCTTGAAACCTGGCTTTGCCATCTGTGCGATTCTGGGTAAAGGCTCCTGTCCTCCCTCCAGTGTCAGTTTCTTCCTCGGTAAAATGGTAATACTGATGAATGCTTCCTCCTGCGGTTGTCGCGAGAATGAAAATCACGGCACACAGTAAGCGCTCAATCTGTGCAAGCTGGTAGGTAGGAACGCGGTCCTAAACACAGTGGCAGCAACAGTACCCGTAGCTAACAGAGCAAGCGTTGGCTACATGCCAGGAGCTGGGCCTGCATTACGTCAGGTAGCGCCTATGACGTTCTACGAGGCAAATATTATGACCCGCCCCCGTCTTGTTGGTCAGAGAATAGGCAGAGAGAGGTGGTGCTGGTAGTTGAAGGTCACACAGCTAAAGCCTTTCTGGGAAAATTAGAGGACAATATGAGAAGTGACCAGGAGCCCACTGGAATGTCAAGACTGTCCCTGGGCAGAGGGGATCTGGCAAGTGGCAGCAAACGTGGCCTGGGGGCTCCCTCCCCGCATTCCTCCTTGCTGCTGTCTCTTCATGGAGCAGCTCCTTCTCAGGTCTGCCAAGACAAGGCCCCCCGACTTCACATCTTTTCTAGGTGACTCACCTCTCTCGGGTTAAGGGCTTTTCTGCCCTCCCTGTACCCTGTCATCCCCCAGTGTCCCCCAAACCGCCCCTTTGCTCTGCAATCTCTGTTCCTTTCCATGCTGCGTCTGAGCCCTCGACACTGGCACGCTGCCTCCTACTAACTGCCCACCGCTGGTTACAAGAATTAGCGCCTCGCAAGTTCACGTGCGCCCTTTATACCTTCATCGACGGGGATGTGCATGATTTACAGCTTCGGCCCGTGTGGGGAATCCCGTCCCATGCGACCCTGACACTAGCACCAGGGTCGACCCACACTGGGTGGCTGAACAAATGTGTCCTCCCCCAGATCTGGAGCCTGGAAGCCTGAAATGAAGGTGTCAGCAGGGCTGCTCTCCCTCCCTCTGGGGGAGGACCCTTCCTTGCCTCTCCCAGCTCTGGTGACGCCAAGTCTTCCTTGGCTTGGTGCTACTTCACTCCAGTCTCTGCCTGTGTTCACATGGCCTCTCCCTGTGTGTCCGTGTGTGTCTTTTTCCATCTAAGAACGCTTTGTTATTGGATTCAGGGCCCACCCTAATCCAGCATGGTTACCTTAATCCTTACCTTACTTACTCCTGCAAAGACCCTACTTCCTAATAAAGTCACATGCCGAGACTCCCAGCAGACATGGATTTGGGAGAAACTCTATTCAACCCACTACAGAAAGCTCCAAATAGATGTGCCTGATAGTCTTTGTGGCGGGTTTATTGAGCCCAGTGGGTACAAACATGAAAGGGTTTAATTTTCCTCCAAAGGCAGTAACTAGCCACATTCTTACAAATCTCCCTTTCCCTGGCCCTTAGTGGCATCATGGCAGAGCCTACAGCTTTCTGGCAAGTTTCCAGTACTCAACAGGCCAGTCCAGGTCAGACCAGTTTAAAACATTCCACGACCCTCCAGCTCAGCTTTGCCCCCGGGCCTGAGAAATCTGGCATGGACATGGCCTCTCCCTGGTTCCTTCCTAAGGCTTCCTTATGCTTCTGGTTTCCAAAGTGCACCAAAGACGATGATTCCATGGACAACCAAACTTGGCCAGGGTGCATTAAACCAAGTTACCCGGATGTGTTTACTTTCAACTCAGTGGATATGCGAATGCACATCCAGAAGCTGGTGGTCTCCAAATCCTGTTCAGTCCAGGAGATGATTTTTCCACAGAATATCCTTCTACCCTGGTGTTCCCCAGAGCACACTCTGGGCAATACTAGATTATATTATATAAAATACTGTAAGAGACAAAACCGATCCACAACTGTTGTGCGTGCATAGCCATAGAAGATGAGTTTTGAGTAAACACACCAAGTCAGGAACATCTTGTGACTTATTCAGAAAACTGGCTTCCAGATCACTGTGGACAAGACCCAGCTTGGCCAGAAGATGCAGTCCCTCGGCAGACCCACACGGACAGCTCAGCTGGCCAGATTTCATGCTCGGAAAGGATCAGAGACGAAAATGCTCCGATCTCCCTCAAGCCCTGTTTCAGCAGCCAGGAGGGTGTAATCCTCATACTGAAAAGCAAGTGGTTTCGGGGCGCCTGGGTGGCTCAGTCGGTTGGGCAGCTGCCTTCGGCTCAGGTCATGATCCTGGAGTCCCAGGATCGAGTCCCGCGTCGGGCTCCCTGCTCGGCGGGGAGTCTGCTTCTCCCTCTGACCCTCCCCCACTCATGCTCTCTCTCATTCTCTCTCTCAATAAATAAAATCTTAAAAAAAAAAAAAAAAGAAAAGCAAGTGGTTTCAAGAAAAATGTCCATTCGCGTGTGGTCCTACAACGTACGCAATTACGTCATGCAAATTCAATTACAGGCACTCAGCAGAAGAGTAAAAATAACAACAACAACATAATAACGAGAGAAAAGACAGGATAGATGAACATAAGCACCAGGCAGCGTTCCCCTGCCATTCTTTTCCCAGCTTGGAACTGGGGCCCGTTCCCTAAGCCTCCGCTCCTGAGTGCCTCTCGGCCCCCAGCGTGAGGCCAGTGCTTAAATATCTACTGTTTTCATGTAATACGGCCTCTAAAAGCTGGCCAGCGTTTTCATCTGGCGCTCAACGGAACAATCGACAACCTTCCCCAACACTGTCCACAGCCTGGCTCTGCTGGACTGATGGAAAAAACATGGCTGCCCCCAATTTAATGTCCCTCCAAGGGTCTTCACAGGTCACTTCTGACCACAGGAATGTGTGTTCCTCCCGAGAGTTGCACTAACTATAGAGCTGCCCTACCACATCAGAGATGACCCCCCCATATTCTCAAAACCGAATAGAAACGGGTTTTGCCCATAGTGTCAAGGCAAATATTCTCTGAAAGTGAGGACTAACCCTACAACTGGGTTCACTAGGGGTCACCATCAACCATGCTACACACCACTTCCCATTCCCTTGACACCCACTCCCCTGCCAAAAAAAAGCCCTAAAGAAAACATTTTTTTAAAGATTTTATTTATCTGAGAGAGAGAGAAAGCACAAGTAGGTTGGAGGGGCAGAGGGAATAGCAGACATCCCCCTGAGCAGAGAGCACGATGCAGGGCTCGATCACAAGGACCCTGGGATCATGACCTGAGTCCAAGGCAAACACTTAACCAACTGAGCCACCCAGGGCCCCAGAAAACATTTTTTTTTTAAGAAAACATTTTTTAATCTGATTGAGCTGTCTGAATGAGGTAGCTTTTTAATCCTCAGTAGATAATAAAGATCAGTTTATCCCCTTAGCCAACAGCCCACCAAAGTTTGGGGCTGGGGGTTCAGAGATCCAGAAGGCTCAGCAGCCTAGGGAACACAGAACCAGTTCTTGCTCTCTCTCTCAGCTTCATCTCCCCGCTGCAGACAAACCCCCACTGCTCACAGAACGATGTCCAAACTCAAGGATCTTTGTCTGCTGGACCAGGACAAGCTGAGCCCCCCAGGGCAGGGTGTGGTTCTCACTCCTCTGCAGGTCTACCCAGCACTGAGCACAGATGGTGGCACATAAACCAAATGGCACATAAGCTCAATGAATGAACGGCAACTGGGTGAAAATGTAACCCGTATAAAACACAGGTACCATATGTGCAAGTCTCAGCACAATCTCGCGTCAAAATTAGAAAAAAAAAAAATTTAACTGGAGAGCAATTTAAATCTTTGCCAAATTTCTCAAGGAACACCAAAAAAACAAAACAAAAAACCCCCCCAAAACAGTTCTGTTTATAATGTAAAACAAAACTTATGAACTTATATCTCAGCCTCTATGGCAGCTGGCCCCCAAATCTCTCAAATCCCCCCAAATTTTCCTAACTTTTCTCCTTCCCTTCCCATGTCCCTTTCCAAATACAGCTTCTACCCTTTCCTAGAAGTACAAGGTAGCTGGTTAAAAGCACAAGCTCTGGGGCTCATCTTGCTGGGTTCAAATTTTTGTCACTTTCTAACTGGAGCAGGTACCTGGCATGTGGTAAGTGCTCAATAAAGGCAACTTCTTACTTAAATCCTATTGGCTTCTCCAATATATTTTTTAAATTTGTCCCCCTTCCCTATTAATGCAAGAAGAAATGTCTACTAGTGTTCTGAGGCTGCCAAAACAAATTGCCACAAACTTGGTGACTTAAAACAACAGGGATTTATTCTCTTGCATCTCTGGAGGCCAGAAGTCTGAAGTCCAGGTGTTGGTAGGGCTGTGCTCCCCCCAGAGCGCTAGGGGAGACTTTGTCCTTTGCCTCTTCCAGCTCCTGGTGGCAGTTAGTATCCCTGGATTTGTGGGTGCATCCTTCCAACCTGTCTCTGTCTCCACATGGCCTTCCCCTGTGTGTATCTCCTCTGTGTGTCTCATGGGAGCTTTTGTCTTGGATTTAGGGCCCACCCAGATATTCCAAGATGTTCTCATTTCAAGATCCTGAACTTAATTACATCTGCAAAGACACTTTTCCTAAATAGCGTCATATTCACAGGTTCCAAGGGATCAGGACGTGAACGTATCTTTTTTGGGCAGCCACCATTCAACCCACTATGAAATGACCCTGGGTCCTTCCTCTTGTGGGCGGTGGGCGGGGAGAGGGTTGGATGCTCCTGTAATTTAATTTTCCTTGTCATGCTGAATAAATCAAGTCGGCAGCCAGCAGCGAGTACTTGGGAACCTGGAAGGAAAGAGAAGCAGGTGCCAGAAAGTCACTGCGGACTTCTCTTTCTCACTGATGCTCGTCAACTCTTTCAATGATGCAAGTTTGCAG